ATATTTTAAAACATAACTTACAGCATAACCTGTTGAATTATTGCAACCCATATTAAAACTGAATGTAACAGTGAACCTTACAACAAACCGCAGCACACTATTGTATTGCACGTGCCTGTGTAGGTCACAGAGGAGGTGAGGAAACAACCTACTGAATCTCAACATCGCATTAAAGCCGAAAAGAAAAAAATATATATAAAAGAATCATTCTGAACTTCTTGTTCTTTACTGATTCTTTATTCTGCACCTTTGAGTTACTTTGTAGATTTAGAAGAAGAAAACAACATACAATCAGCACATAAAACATGATGCATTACTACAGATTAACATTTACAGTCAGTAACGGTGTCCCTCAAGGCTCTGTCTTGGGTCCCCCTCTGTTTATAATCTGCCTACTTCCTCTCGGCTACAGAGACTGTTGGTGTCATTCTACAACTGCTCCATCCAGTCAGTGCTGAGCTACAGCATGACGCTCACTGGATGCCCTCTCCCCTCTCTGGAGGACATTTACAACACCCACTGCCTCAGGAGAGCCCAAAACATCCTCCAAGACCCTTCTCACCCTGGTCACTGTCTGTTTGAACTGTTACAGGACAATCAAATCAAAAACTAATAGACTGAAAAGCTGTTATCACAGTGAACTATGCACAAATCTGAAATAACTTGAAGATTTAATTCTGACAACTTCTGCTGGCTGGTGCAATAAATCCTGATGTGCAATATTTATCATGTGCAATATCTATCGTGTGTGTGTGTGTGTGTGTGTGTGTGTATGTGTGAGAGAGAGAGAAAGAGAGAGAGAGAGAGAGAGAGAGTGTACAGCTTTACATAGTATAGTTGTATACTAAATAGCATAGTTTTTTTTTACGGTTTTAAACTTTTTCTTTTGTATTTACTTAACTTGTATTGTGCCTGTTGTTTATCTTGTTTGTTCTCATTTGCTGTTTGTCTTTAGTATCCTTTAAATAGCACTGAATCTGAGAGCTCTACCTCAATTTCGTTGTACTTGTGCAATGACAATAAAGATATTCTGATTCTGATTCTTCTTTTTTAACATCCATTTAACGTCCACTTCCATTATTATGCAGATGACACCCTGCTCTATCTGTCCACCAAACCTACCTCCACCCTCCAGCCCTCCACCTTCTCTATCTGCCTTCAGGATATCAAATCCTGGTTCTCCTACTTCTTCAAATTAAACAGTGATAAAATGGAGTTTCTTTTAATTAGCACCAAATCCACCTCAGCAAAAACTGAGGGCCTCTAGTTTCCCGGCGCGGCGCAGGGTGGCGAACCCCGCGCAGAGCTAGTTTCGAGCAGCGCAACCCGAGGCGCGCTCAGTTTGGTAGTTTGGCAGACCGAGGTGCGCTGAGATGGGTGTGGCGGCGCAGCAGGGGGAGGTGTCGATAGATCCAGCTTGGTGCAGTGACAGTTTTGTGCCAAAAGGCTTCGCCGAAGGTGCGCTAAAAGCTCGCAAGCTGAAACCAGGTCTACTGTCAGCGCAGGGGGAGCGCAGCCGGTGTAAGTGGAAATTTGGCTGACCGGCGGACAGTGCGCACACGTCAGCAAAACCTCACAGGCAGGTTTCCAGAATATCAGGCACATTAACGATGCAATAAATACCCAAAAACCACTATTCAATGCAACTATCTGCAATCAGCACATAAATGTATCTCTATATCGACTGTCCCGTCACATCTGATGTCAGATCAAAGGGGATTGGCACCGTTTGGCACGTTTGGCACGCGTAATGGAAACCCAACCTGATTTGATTAACACAGCTGCAAACTAATGAGTTCACATCCCTCTCAGCCAACCACAAACAGCCACAGCATCAGATAGGGAGTATATATTCAGCATCTGTCATCTTAGAAAAGTCAAAAGAAAAGAAACAGAGTGAGACTGCGAGAGAGAAAGAGAGAGCACGCGCACGAGAGAAACGCAACATTGATTTACAATTGTGGTGACCTCCTCCCAGGCTACCTTTGCATCATCAGCCCGTGGAGGTCTGCTCGTTGTTCCGTATATTCTGACACTGCGAGCTTGGTCCTCCCGGACCAAAACATCAGTTTCCTCCTGGGAGAAGTTTGGCCGTCTGACGCTGCTGCTCTTTTCTGCCATGGCGAATTGAGTAAACTCTCATTACGCCTTCGTGCGGCGCATTTAAGGGCGAGGAGAGGGGCTCATTTGATTGGTGTGATGTGTGTAAAACCCACTCCACTCCTTCTCTCCTCCCTCTTTCCAACTTGCGCAGGTAGGAGGGACGGAGGTGGGAAAGAGGAGTAGCTGCGCCAGGCGCATGGTGTGCCAAACTTGCAAAATCCACCTGACCACACCCAGTTGGCAAAGCGCAGGTGCGCTGCGCCTCCGCCTCGCCCGGTCTGCGAAACTAGAGGCCATTATGTTGATAGCTCCTCAGTTTCCCCCTCCCCGCAGGTTAAGGGTCTTAGTGTCATCCTCGACAGCACTCACATCCATAATGTCACTCTGTCTGCCTATTTCCTCTTACGCAATATTAACCGCCTTCACTCGTCCCTCACACCACACAGTACCACCATTCTTGTTCACACCCTGGTTACACTCTATATTGGTTCCTGTAACTCGCTTATTTTCGGTTTCCTTCTCAAGTCCATCCACAAAATTCAGCCGGTCCAGAGCTCTGCCGCTCACATCATCACCAGAACCCCCTCCACCAATCACATCACTCCTGTCCTTCAGCAGCTTTACTGGCTCCCTGTTAAATAACACGTTGACTTTAAGATCTTACTCCTCACCTTTAAGGCCATCCACAGCCGAGCTCCTCTGTACCTCATCCACACCCCCACCCGCACTCTCAGCCTTCAGCCGCTCCGCCGCCATCTCTGGAACTCCCCATTGGACAATCGTAACATCAACTCCACCTCTTTCAAACAGTCTTTTCAGTCTGAATGCGTCCGTCTACCAACACACATCCACTATTTACACAGAATGTTATTCACTGTAAACTTGTTGTTTACCTGTACAGTGACCTTGAGTGTCATGAGAGGCGCCCATAAATAAAACGTATTATTTTTATTATTATTAAGATCAGGAGCTGTTTCCTTGTTTCCAGTCTGACTGCAGCTTCATATACACTACAGATAAATACCCATCAATCAATGTGGTGTCCACCTGTTGGCAGGTTTTGACCTTTTAACCCGACCCACTCAGCGAGCTTGCAAGAAGAGCTGCATTTCTCTGTTCCTGTGTGAAAGTGTAACCACCTCACAGCAAAGTGTTTTTAAAACCACGCTGTGGGATTCTGCTCTTTGTTTCCAGTAAACACAGCTAAATAAAAGCATGTGTCATCATTGCATTGTTTTTTTTATTCGTTTTGAAGTGACTTTATGGTGTATTTCTTACTCTGTGGGTTATTCCTTTGATATTTAAGTCCTAATTGCTGCAGGTAAACCAACGATCAGAAGATCCAGAACCCTGATTTACGTGGTCTAAAATGCCATCGTGCTTCAGAGAGGGAGAGGCAGGGATGAGGACTGTGTGTCTTCAACTCGGTGCCAGATAACAGAGCAGCACTAAATGTTTCACAGAGAGTTGCTGGAGCAACAGGAGCACAGCTATAAGAACTTCTTGACAGTGATGACTGAGACAAACAACAGACCTGAGCTTGCTAAGGAAATCAGTGGACTACGAGAAAGACTTCACTACACTCAGAAAGATGTGGATGAGCTTACTGACAATAAATTCTTAGAAATGAATTCAGAAATTTCAAATTGTAGTGAAAGCATCTGCTCATTCCTGCCGAAAATGGACTTCTTGGAAGGTCAGTCCCGACGGAGCAACATTGTGATTGACGGCATCCAAGAGTCTAGCAATGGAAGCGATGGAAGCGAAGGAAGCTGGGCTTAATCAGAGACTAAAGTGTGAAACCATCTCTCAGACAAGCTCAAAATCACCAGGACTGAGCTGGAACAGGTGCAACATACCAGGCGTTCAGCTGGTTCAGAGAGAGCTCAGCCAACTGTGGCAAAATTCCTCTGATTTAAGGACAGAGTCAGAGTCAAGGAGAAAGCTAAGGATCCAAAAGGATTGAACGTTCATCAGTAATCTCATACCAGCCATGAAGACTGCGCCAGAGTGAGGGGACATTGTTTGCCTCTCATCGCCTGAGGAGTGACAGACAAGCCCAACGAGGGCGCCAGTAATCCCAGTATAGCCACTCCTGCACCCACTGCACCTGCTGCACATCTGCGTGCTAAAAGAATTCAAATTCAAATTAGGTTTATTAAAAGACACCTGCTAAAGGTGAGGACTAGGGGACCTTTGTGACACTCTGGCTATTTATATAAATAGAAATAAATATTACAATGAAGAGGACAAACTCGCTCTTTGTGAATTCATCTTTGAAGAAGCACCACAAACCACACCACACATCTTGATGAAACTTCTCCGTCTTGCATCAACCCCATGAACTTTTGCAAAATTTATAAAGTTGTCACTTTAGTAAATGTGAAGAAGCGTGTGACTCCTCACGTTCGATGCCTCTGTCTTGTGAAAGTGGGACTGTAATCTCATTACTTCATCTTCAAAATTATGACCTGTGTCGGATGTTTTGTCCCCTCTAACTGTCGTTAATCCTCCTTCCTTACGCTCATTTTAAAGCTGCTGTAATTTTCTAAGTGTGTGGAAAACAGGAGGGACAAACTGCTTTTTTAAAAGTAAAATTACAGCAGTCTCTCAGCTTCATAAGATTGTGTCTGTCTCACATCTCTGTCACTGTTAATGACTCTGTGTCAGCGCTGTTTAAACTGCCTGCACTAATAACTCGCACACACACACATCTTTGTTTTGTTTTAACTGTATTTTATCTCGCGTCATGTCTGATAGAGACGTTCACCTCTAGCTGGGGAGAACACTTTGTTATTGTGCATAAAACATCACCATCATTTAATGGAAACTCTAATGTCCACTGTTTGAGATTAAAGCTCTATCTCTCAGCCTGTAGTTGAAGTGAGTGTACTCACCATATAAACAGTGTTGAGTCAGGTTCCCATACAGCTGTTGTCTCTGCCCGTAATATGAGCCAATGCTGTGTGATATGGAAAGTCAAATGAAGCGTGGTTCAGATCTGAAAGTCTGTGGAGGAGTTCCACTTCCTCTCTCTCTCTCTTCAGGATACTGCTGACTCTGTTTCTCTCTCTGTCTAACAACAGTCTGCAGTCGTGGTCGCAGCTGCACCAGCTGACCTGAGCTCAGTACATCACAGTGACAACACTGCTATGCTGATGATTAGCAGGTGTAGTGTTTACTGTCTTTGTGTTAGCATGCATGAGTTAGCAGCACACAGAGTCCAGCTGAGACTGATGGGAGTGATATTAGCTCTGCAGGTATGTGTTGACCTGATGATGGCGCTTAATGCAAACAGGGCTCATTTAGATCGTCTGTGTAAGCAGCTTATTACAACCAACAGTTATCTTCAAGGTCTGCGTTCTTTCATCTGCGTAATATTGTGAAAATTAGGCCTATTCTGACCCGAAAAGATGCAGAAAAATTGGTCCACGCTTTTGTTACCTCAAGGCTGGATTACTGTAACTCTCTATTATCAGGTAGCTCTAGTAATCCCTTAAAAACTCTCCAGCTAATTCAGAATGCAGCAGCACGTGTACTAACAGGAACTAAGAAACGAGATCATATTTCTCCTGTTTTAGCTTCTCTGCACTGGCTCCCTGTAAAATCCAGAATTGAATTTAAAATCCTACTGTTAACTTATAAAGCTCTAAATGGTCAAGCTCCGTCATATCTTAGAGAGCTCATAGTGCCATATTATCCCACCAGAACACTGCGCTCTGAGAACGCAGGGTTACTCGTGGTCCCTAAAGTCTCCAAAAGTAGATCAGGAGCCAGAGCCTTCAGCTATCAGGCTCCTCTCCTGTGGAATCATCTTCCTGTTACGGTCCGGGAGGCAGACACCGTCTCCACATTTAAGACTAGACTTAAGACTTTCCTCTTTGATAAAGCTTATAGTTAGGGCTGGCTCAGGCTTGCCCTGTACCAGCCCCTAGTTAGGCTGACTTAGGCCTAGTCTGCCGGAGGACCCCCTATAATACACCGGGCACCTTCTCTCCTTCTCTCTCTCGTGATTTGTGATATTGGGCTTTATAAATAAAGCTGAAGTGAATTAATATTTATTATTAGGCACTGACATCTGGTGGCCAAAGTAATTATTTAAAATATAAAAAGCAACACACACCAAGAGGTATAGCGAGGTGCTGATCACTGGCTGAAGACTTGATGATAGAGAACAAGTGTCACACACTCTATATGTATTTCTTTTATTGTGATGATGATGATTCGACCTTCTTCAGGATCAACAATTGAGGCTCAAAGGCTGAAACTTCTTCATCACAATAAATGAAATGCAAATGGAGCAGTGTTAATTTTGACAGCTATTTTAGATTTAGATTAAGTCTTGAGACGAAAATGCTTTTTAGTTTTAGTTTTATCCCTCATAGTTGTAGTCGACAAACGTTAATGACGTTTTGGTCAACTTGGTCAGCTATATTCTAGCTGCCGCTCCGTCTCTGATCTGAAAGTTTGGTCATTCTTTGCTGCTGCTCTAACTGCCTCAGGCTTTCCTCGTTTGCACGTGGAAGCACAGAGGGGTGTGCTCTCTCACCTGCCTCAGGTTTCCGAGGAAGGGCAGAGGGGCCCCAGAACAGAGCCATGACGAAGGCTACAATGTGCTGTACAAAAGGAAAGAGGTTAAAAGAGCACGTAAAGTGACGTAGCATATGAGCTGATGTTGTTACCTGGAGGTGGAGCAGATGGTGGATGGTGTGACACCTGCCAAGCTGCAGACCACTGTTCAAAACCAACAAACATCAAAACCAGTTGTGATTTAAGCTTTTTAGGCACAACAAGTGGGTACTTTTTACCAAGACATTACCGCTTTTCCTGCTGGGATTGCACCCACAAACCAAACCCTCTAACCATAAGTGTGTTTGTAGAAATGTCAACATTTATCTGGTGATCAGATTGATCTAACCAACCTACAGCCGTACCACAATGTAAAATAGTGCCTGTTTAGGAGCCTTTGTTATAAGATCTGACCTCTCTCTGGACCTGTAGAGCTTTTTTGTTTTTTTTTGTCCAACATTGGAGCTCTGTAGCACAAAGAAATAAGACAGACATTAGTATGAGACATTTATTGTTGGTTTGTGTCTCCACATTTGATTGTTTGTCTGTAATAATATATGACCAGACGTATCGTTCAGATACTGAGACGCCCCCAAACATTCACAGAAGAGTCCAAACTTTGTAAAGATACTCTCATCTGTATGTCTCTGTCTCTGTCTGTCTGTCCCTCAGCAGATAACAGGATGTGTTTCAGACTGATGCGTTTTTAGCTTTCCATCTTTCCACTTTTAGCCTCACAGGTCCTCCTCCCTCCCCCACCCAGTCTGACCTGCTGGGGGTAAAGATCTGTTGGTGGGACCCTCCTTCTCTCCTCCACCTGCCTCACATCATTTGTGTTTGTTTGATTAGACACAGCCTTAATTTAACCTTTATTTGTTTTTGTGGCACTAACCTGGCAGGAAATGCAGCGATGTCTTGCACTTTTGCTCACCTGGTGGAGCAGGCGCCCCCTGTGCAAAGGTTGTGTCTTGCTGCAGCAGCTATGCATTCCAACCTGCACTATCCCCGCAGGAAAAACAGCGACAAGTAGCTAAAAAACATCCACCTTTAGTGGCTAAAGCGGTGGTCTGCAGCTCGGCAGGAATCTTACCTTCGTGACACACCATCCCCTCCACCTCCAGATGACAAAGTCAGCTCATACATCACTTAAGAAGCGTTGGTATGATACGTATAAAAGGTACAAATGTAATGTATTTGTGGTTTGCAGAAATGTACAACACCAACATTTTCTTCTGGCGACTGGGCTGTAGTTATCAGGTGTCAGCACATTGCTTTGTTCTCCTGTAGTCTCTGGGCAGGTCGGTCAAACACTATCATAGTAAGAAAACTAGACATTAAAAGACTGCAGAAACACTAACAAACAGAATCCTCCCCACCCTGCAGCACAGGTTAGTTTAATATGGGTAATATTTGTGGCTCTGACACATCACATGACCTCTGTCCTTTCACGTTTCAGCATAAACAAATGTCAGTTTTGGAGCTTCTGTTGAAACGACTGAAGTCTGCTGATATCTTTCTTGCGAGAACCGTAAACAACACGTTTGCATCTGCACTTTGCATTTAACACTACATTTTCTTTTTCTCTCTCTGTCCTGTGACTGTTGTGTCATAGAACTCAACCTTTAAACTGTTTGGTGTCTATTTACTGTGTGCTCCCCCGTCACACTGAGACTCCCGTATATGTTATGGTTAAAGATAAAAGTTAAGATAAGGGAAACCCCCGAGCAGACCTCAACACCTCACCAGCTCTGCTAACTTGTTATTACAGCAGAATATTCTGCAGACAATGATGATGCACAGGAGCCGGAGCGCGTCTCCCACCCACGCTGCTCTGTTCTGGAGGAGAATGGGAGGAAGAGGAGTCCAGCAGGGAGGAGGAAGATATCAGACACGCGAGGAGGAAGTGGAGCATCTCTGATCGTCTCTGCTGAAACAACAGTGAACATCTGCACAGCTGCAGTGATGCCGGAGAGGCGGAGGGATGTGCTGATCTTTGTTTAGAAGATGTGACACTTTAAAAACATGAAACATCCGAGGTGACGTGTCTTTAATGATCTCTGATGACCTCAAATTAGATTTATTTTAAATATATCTATTTACATATTTTTATAAAAATATATTCTATTTATTTCTTGACTGTTGCTGACCTCACTTTTATCTTTCATCATTTTCTCCCTGATTCTTTTGTCTTCATTTTTTTCTGCACATTCTCATACATGTCTTTATCTCTTCATGTATTTTATTGACATATTTTTTGCAGATTTATTTCCACATTTATTTCTTATTCCCACGTTTAAAGAAATGTGTAAATACATATATGATTACATCATAAATAAATAAATACATTTATAAAAAATATTCTTTTTTGGCAAATTTTTGTCTTTATTATTTTTACTTTTATTTTCACTTACTATGTGTATTCATTGTAATTATAAAACCAGTTTGTGATTTTTTTGTCTTTATTTTTCTACATATATTCATAGATTTATATTTCCGTGCATGTATTTATTTATTTATTCAAAATTTTTCCACATTTTTTTAAACTTTCTTCCACATTTAAATAGATGTGTAAATGAACAAACACATAAAAAAATACAGAAAAATATATAACTATAAGAATAAATTATGGAACCAATAAATGCTTAACAAAATGAGGAGAATTAATACAGAAATAAATATATGCAAGAACCAAATTATTTAAAAAAAATGTCTTTGGCAATTTATTTATTGGCTTAAATTTTGATTAGTCATGCTCATTTATTTATTACTTATTTATGTCATTATATGCAAAAGAAAGAAAGAAAGAAAGAAAACAATTAAACATAATTAATTGGGCACGTTAGAGAAAAACAGAGCCTGCGCTTTTTATGCACAACGCATGCGCATTAGCTGCAGCTTTTCCGGACTACAAATCTCTTTCCTTTAGTCACAGAAAAATTACCGGTCGGTTTGTATCAGCGGTGAAAATGTCCCGAACATGACGGATGGTTGAACTCTGTGTGAATAAAGATGGAGCCGGAAGTCACCGGCAGCTGTGAGAGACTCGCCCGTGGAGGAGCTCTCTGTCCGGGACACCGACTCCTCTGTGGGGCGGAGCAGCCGGAGGAGGAGGAGGAGGGCGGGGCAGCTGCAGCTGTTCCTCCGGGACATGGGCAGAGACCTGACCGGCAGGATAACGCAACTGTACCGGGAAACCTCCTCCAGACTGCTGCGGGAGAACCGGCGGAGGTGAGGAAGGGGAGGAAGAGGAGGGGGGGGGGGAACAGGGAGCTGCTGGAGAAGGTGAAAGGAGAGACACTGACCGGACCGGTGCATGAGCAGCTGCAGACCGGATCAGTCATAATAAACTTTATTTAGAGCAGTTTGATTTATAAGTTTATGAAGTGCGTCATAGGAA